CTGACAATTCGAGAGAACCTTGAGTTCCAGACGTGTTGTAGCACAAGATAATTAGTGTGCGGACCATTTTCATTTATATAGTGCTCTGTGAACACAAATTAGTTAGCATAAATCAGTTAAATGACGAAAAATTAGGTGTCTATTTACTTGTGACCATTCAATGTACAACGTCTTGTATTTGACAATGATTTTGTTGGCCGTGTTCCGAGGAAGGTGAATGGTAATGTAGGAAACGGGCTTTGGTGGAAGGTTTGGGGAAAATATGTGTGGCTTTTGGTCCTGTTGTTGTGAATGACACATTTACCTAAGGCATAAAACTGTTCAAAATTTCACAAAGATTTCAATAAAACACTAGAAATTAAAATTAAGACGCTTTTAAATGAACTAAAAATGAATACGTTTGTCAATGTCTCATTGACAATTTGAAACCAAACAATTGCGAAGTCCGAGAACTATAGGGCTGCCTGAAGATCACAAACCAGGCTTATCCCTTCAACCCACTATTTATGCATGGGGATCAGCGGCAGAAGCCATACTGTGGATCTCAGAAAGACTTCTTCATCCTTTGCTTACGTTGGTTCCCCGACTCATACACAAGACACATAATTTTCTGCAGAGACTAAATGACGACGCCATAGCTTTTCAATGTGAGTATTGTCCAACTACACCCCACCCTCTATCCCCATCAGTTATATTTTACACATGGTCGACTACAACAAAGAAAATTTGACGCTTTTAAACATTTCTACAGTTCATATGGTACTTTTTTGCTTTCAAAAACTAAATATATCTCCTCGTTCTTGTTTCTGCAACTTTCAAATAATGATATATTGCTCTTTAATCCAGATTTTAAAGCAGTAGAGATCCGTTATAACAAAGAGAAGAACATGACAGAATTTTCTAGAAAGGTGGCGAGCATTTCAGAGAAATTTCATAATTAGATAATGAAATCTGATCCATATGCTCAAGAAAACAAAGCTTTGTATAAATTAAAAAGTTATAAAAAGCCAGATAAAATTCGTAATTTTAGCGAAGGATAGTTGTGAGTGAAAAATGTACAATAAGTTATTAAATGAAGATAATTAAACAAAAATATTACTACAAAAACTTGAAAGTAAAAGTAGAATTATTTTAAATGAACTGAAGAAAGAAATTTAGATTTCTCCACAACTAGTGAACATTTTAAAACCATACAACAGTCGAGTCCCTGATTACTACGACCGTCCTAATGACCATAAGTTTGAGTTACTCCTGAGACCCATAGAATTTGCTTGCGGATCTCCGACGGAAAGTATATCATGGGTTTTGGAAATACTTCTGTGCCAGTTACTGTATTTTAGTCCCTGTATATATATCATTTCATTGAACAATTACATAATGACGCACACCTCCTTAATGACAATTATATGCTGTTGACTATGGATATTGTTCAATTATATTCCAGCATCCCGATTGAAAAAGGTGTAGACCATGATACGAGAAAGTAAAATAGAGATGGTTTAGAATTTCTAAATATTTCAACTGATTCATTATTATTAGCTCTGATGTTTGTGTTAGGTAATGTGCATGTAAGATTTAACAGTAGTCTTGGCTGTAATATTTAAGCATACACATTGAACTGAAAGCACTTAATTCTTGGACAATAGTAGGGAATATAGGTCTATGAATCTGATACAGACTCATAGATTATATATTTGTAGAGTGGAACATTAATTTAGAGTCATTTATTAGTTTCTTTGAGTTCTTGAATACTGTTCATCCATTAATAAAATTTACACTTACTTATATCACACAAGTAGAAATTTACCGTTTTTAGATACCATCATTGATGTTAAGGCAAAGACGGGGAGATCAATACCAGTAGTTTTTATTGGGATTGATAATGTATGTAGTAAGTAAGAAGTATAGAAGTAGGCTAGGGAACATTTTACGAAACAATATTTACCCGCGGGACTACATACACAACATAGTAAGGGATTTTGACAGGCAGAAAAAAAAAAGACAGACCAGCTCCATTAAACTAGGGAAACAAGGAAGGCACATTTAAAGCTCAGGTTACTTGGATGTCACCGTTTATAAATGATAATATCACCACAAAACAGAAGAGAATGCTTAGAACATTAGATTTACCTATTATAATAGCATAAAAAAAACAATCATCTCTCTTAAATCCTTAATAACAAGTTTAACATGTAAAAAAAAAGAAACATAATACGAAAAAATATTATGTAACCGCTAAATCTGGGTTACATGGTCGTCGCTATTGTAAGAATGTTATTTATGATGTAACTTGTGACGGATGCTCTAGCACGTTTATAGATGAAACAGGCTGAACCATACATAACCATACGTGACATCCAAAACCTCAATACTAATAACGCTATTGCTGAGCATTATAGAAAAGAACGTAGGTTACCAATAAGTAATCTTTTTCAAGATCGAAAGATTAAAGAATCAATTTTTTCCAGGAAACATTAACCTAAAATAAACAAATATAAAGACTGTCCTCTATCGTAAAGGTGTTCATTGTATTCTTAAAACTTTAATATGTCTGTCTGTTTGTTTCTTTGAATTTATGCACAAAGCTACACAATGGGCTATCTGTGCTCTGCCCACCACGCGTATGGAAACCCAGTTTCTAGCGTTGTAAGTCCGCAGACATACCGCTTTGCCACTGGTGGGCTAATATGTCTGTAAACTTTCACAATTGTTAAGTATATTTTTGACATAGTAAAGTGTATGTAATGATATAAGAGGATAAATGATTACAGATGCCAGTGAACATACTTAACAACAAGCATGATGATGTATTTCGTAACGTATGCTCTTTTAAATTATATGATTTTAATAATTCACCTGTTGATTTACATACATTGTTTGTTTACCATTGTTAGCTAAGTTTGAACAGTTTGAATTCAAGAATGATAGACATTATTTTTAATTTGATCTGAATCTATCAGACACGTGTATTAATGCTTGATTTACTGATGACGGTGATACAATTTAGATTCAATGGAATTAATAAACTTGTAGGTTATCGATGACTCCTAACAAGGCCGTAATTGCGAAATATCGAGCTAATATAGATACATTCTATAGATACAGGTCGTTATTTTATTTACCTTAATAGAAATGTCTAGTAATAAACTCGGTTTGCGTTATACACGTCGTTATTTTATTTACCTTAATAGAAATGTCTAGTAATAAACTTCGGTTTGCGTTATATAGGTCGTTATTTGATTTATCTTAATAGAAATGTATAGTAATAAACTTCGGTTTGCGTTATATAGGTCGTTATTTGATTTACCTTAATAGAAATGTCTAGTAATAAATTCCAGTTTGCGTTATATAGGTCGTTATTTTATTTATCTTAATAGAAATGTCTAGTAATAAACTTCGGTTTGCGTTATGTAGGTCGTTATTTTATTTACCTTAATATAAATGTCTAGTAATAAACTTCGGTTTGCGTTATATAGGTCGTTATTTGATTTATCTTAATAGAAATGTTTAGTAATAAACTCCGGTTTGCGTTATGTAGGTCGTTATTTTATTTACCTTAATAGAAATATCTAGTAATAAACTTCGGTTTGCGTTATATAGGTCGTTATTTTATTTACCTTAATATAAATGTATAGTAATAAACTCCGGTTTGCGTTATATAGGTCGTTATTTTATTTACCTTAATATAAATATCTAGTAATAAACTTCGGTTTGCGTTATATAGGTCGTTATTTTATTTACCTTAATAGAAATATATAGTAATAAACTTCGGTTTGCCTTAAACAAAATTAAGAAATATATTTGTATTCAGATTAGTTACAAAAAAATTTTGTGTAAGTTTGCTGTCGCCCCCCCCCCCCAGTGGCACAGCGGTATGCCTGCGGACTTACAATGCTAGAAATTGGGTTCGATACCCGTGGCTGGCAGAGCACAGATGGCAAAAAACATAATCCTGTGTTTGCTACATAAGACATGTATAACATTGGAATAAAAGTGGTTTTCTAAAGAGATTTACTCAATATAATTCATTCCCCCCCCAGTATTGACTACAACAACATACAATAATTAATGATAAGTACTTAAAATCACAAGTGTTTCAACTAAACATTTATTGTTTCATAACAGCACAGTGCATTATTTCATTTGGCTCAGAGGTTCGTACACAGTAGAAGAAACTGAAAAAATATAGTAAATGACAATCAACCTTTCACTCTGTGTACAATATGTGCTTAAATGCACATTTAACACGTTCTCTATAAATCATTAAACATTGTAAGTTTTCATTTTAGTTAAAAACGTATAGAACAATTGGCCGAGTTTTAAAATCATAATCAAATATTTATTTAACTGGCTCCAAAATAGCTGATATATATAGATATATATAGTTACAATCTTGTTTTTTATCCAGTGAGTTAAACATAACGCTTTCTGTTAACGTATTGAGACTGTAAAATTAAATAACAAAACCAAAATTATAATTTTACAGTCTTGAAAAACTGCCCTTTTACTGAATTGTTCCGAGAGGGCGTGGTAGTACCGAGACCTGCTAGTAATAAGGTTTAAATAAGAAACTCATACACTGTGCCCATAATCATAATAACACTATTCAACATTAGTTGAAATATTGAAAATGTCACATAACATGTACAATATTAGCTTAGAAATAACGTGTTTTTGTATTCTAGTATACATATATATATTTATATATATATACATATACTGATAACGTGTTTTATATACTCTACAATCTACACTAAACTTGAAACTTCATGGAATGTGGTGTAATAAATCAATGGTAGCTACATTCTAACCGTTAAGCACCAGATGTCATGCCTACACAAGTTTAATAAAAGTAAGATAAAGATTTGTATCGACTTATAAAATAAGCATCAGATTATAATAAATTTCAAAATTCAATGGAACTTATTACTTATCTCGTTCAAAACATGTACACAACTAAACAACATACACATCTTTCCAGCTATGAGCCCGGCTTACTTATCTCGTTCAAAACATGTACACAACTGAACAACACACACATCTTTCCAGCCTGGAACCCGGCTTACTTATCTCGTTCAAAACATGTACACAACTAAACAACATACACATCTTTCCAGCCTGGAACCCGGCTTATTTATCTCGTTCAAAACATGTACACAACTAAACAACATACACATCTTTCCAGCCTGGAACCCGGCTTATTTATTTCGTTCAAAACATGTACACAACTAAACAACATACACATCTTTCCAGCCTGGAACCCGGCTTACTTATCTCGTTCAAAACATGTACACAACTAAACAACATACACATCTTTCCAGCTAGCAGTCCAGCTGACAACTTTGTTTTTGCTCATGATTCATTTTTGTTCGTCATGGAATTCAAAACATTTAGCTGAATAGACAAGTTTGTGAAGTTTTGTAGGCATTTCAATAAAAATAAATAAGCTTTGAATAGTTTCGAATAAATATTATCTCTTTTTAACATTTTCAACAACAATGATATTTTCTGCAGTAGATGATATGACAAGTAATTCGTAATTTGTAATTGAACTCTAACATTATATACCCATTTGTGACAAATTAATAGCTCTACATTAAAATACAAAGAACAGCCACCTTACTGTGACTTTCTTGTCAATGGAACTGATTTATGTATCGTTTAACTGTGAATATTCATCGCAGTTACAAAATATCGAACTGAAATATTTGTACATCTGCAACAAAATGAACAAAACTTAATGGAAAAACAATTTACGCATTGTTGGGAAAGTGGCAAACTGCTGAAACCAAACCCAATTCTGATTTTTTAATTCACCTAACTTCAGTATAATTTTCATTCATTCTAAATGAGGCTGTAAGGTTCCCAGAGTCACTTATTTGGAGCATCAATGGTATGCTCCAAGTTTCCAGGCAGGTTTTTAACACCTGACGTTTTGGGACAAACACTACCAATACTCTTTACTTGGCTCATAGCTTCACCAGCAAAATAACGAGGTGAGCACTTTCCAGTTTGACAGCCTACTCGTCTTTGGATATGTTCCAAATCTGAAGTTTTGTACTGGTTGCTTTCATTACTATCACTAGACTCTTCATTGAATGCTAAATCTGTAGATGAAAAAGCCATCCATATTTCTTTAACTTGACCAATGTCTGTTGCAGATGACCAAGAACAACTTGATGATGTCATACTCTCTGGACGAAGATTCTCTGTTTGAGTACTTTCTTGTAAGAATGACCCCTGACTGTCTGTTAGTACTTCGTCTTCATTATCAGACTGTTTTATCACTACATCTTGATCTGGAACGTCATCCAATGTCTTCTGAGATGGTGATGACAAATTGCGATGATTAAGACCCATATCTTGGTTTGAATGATCATCTTCAAACTCACATTCTTTAAAGTTAGCAGTATTGGTTAATAAGTGAATATTTTCTGAAACTCCATTATCCACAGGTAATTCATACGAATCCATAGTGTGGGATTTTGAATCATAAGTTAGAAAGTTACTGTTCACTCCATTGTTATCAGTGTGAGATGCATAGCCACGTTCTTTTTCTTTTCGAGTTGGTAAATTACTTGAATGTGATAGATTTGGTGTTTCAGAGTTAGATTCTAATTGCCTAGACCTTTTTACTTTAGGTTTTGAAAGAGACCGTCTAGAAATTGAAGAATGACATTTTTCACCAGAAGATGAAGAATTCGGAGTTAATCTGCCAGTGCTAAGTGGCCTAGGACACAAATTTCTTTCTCCATAGGATAGACTAGTGTCGTGTTCATTTAAGTAGACAGACATCCTGACTGGAGATCTCAACAAAGAGTCATCTTGTAGAAGTTTATCTAGGACGTTTGAAGATGCTTTTGGTAGAAAAATAAGTGAAAAATAAATAAATATATATTTTTTACTAAACGTATTATATATTTAGCTCTTTAAGTTTTCATCTACGAACGCAAATAACTATTCATTCTGAAATAGTTTCACACACGATTAAAAAAATACAACTACCATACCACACGTAAAATTAACTGGAATACGTTTGAAAACTCTAATATTATTGAATAAAAATGTAAAAAAAATGATGAACACAATTCTTTATTGTACTTCAAATCACTGATTAAATACTATAAACTATTTCCCTACATAAAGGATATAAACTTCTTCATTTTTAGTTCCTTTATGTAATTTTCTTCCATTATGTTTCTAAATTTGTGTTCAATGTTAAATTAAAATTGACTCCGTTTTAAGTTACTTGAAACTAGTGCTATTAAATACTTTATATTAATTTGAAAATTTCTTTCATTCTTAATCTTAAAATACACTTAGTTATAACTCCTAAGAGTCAAATAATTGTATTATGTCTATGTTGTTGCTATCATTTCCCTTTATGACAATATTTTATAGTTACAGTTTAAAGAAATTCCCACCATTATCATAAGTTGTATTAAATAACCATAATTTTGAATAGAAACAATGCATAATTTGAATAATATGACGTAACAAGTTAAAAGTATTTTTTTTACTTTACGTAATGTTGACTTGAGTATAGTAAACGCAATTATGAATAAATGAAACAGTAATGAACTCCAGAGAATTTTTCAAAGTTATTTTATTGTATTGTTCTGATGAAAGCGTAAAACCAAAAGGTTGAGCAAATAAAACAACTTCAAAAGATTCTCCGGAGTTTACAGCTGTCTCATTTATTCATTATTACAAGACATTTTGTTCTATATTAAGTTATGGAGCACTTGTACAGGCAAATACATTTTCAAATGAAATTCTCTTTCAGAACTTTATCTTTTGGGAAATGTCTAAATTCTTCTATTACGTAAGCACGTTATCACGTGATTGAAAATCAATCAAAACAAATTATAACTCATAAGCTAGCCACACTCAAACTTTGAATAAGCTGAAGATAATACATACAATCAGTCATTGTTGAAAGTAAAACACTTGCTTCCATAGTTTGCTTCAACTTCCACTGGAGCTCCTCCTTCTCCATAGACAGCCTTGAATTCATCTTTGATTCCTTTTGAAATTCTTCTTTCAGTTGCTGACTTTCACTAGTTAGTTGTCTAGAGTTATAGTAAAAAAGTAAGATATCATTACCTTGTTTTTCAATCCTTTCAAATGGTTGTTTTTGTCAAAACCTACTAGAAAAATACTGAGATAATATACAGTACAACAAAAGTAAGTTCTGAAAACGTAACACGTGAATTAAATTCAAATGTTTATGTGTCGTTAGTTAGGTGCACGTTTCACATTCACAGTTAGAAGAGTGCACAATGGTTTGGTTTGTTTTGAATTTCGTGCAAAGCTACACGAGGGCTGTCTTCATTAGCCTTGCCTAATTTAGCAGTGAAAGACTAGAGGGAAGGCAGCTAGTCATCACTACTCACCGCCGACTCTTGGGCTACTCTTTTACCAACGGATAGAGGGATTGATCATTACATTATAACGTCCCCACGGCTGAAAGGGCGAGTATGTTCGGTGGAATGGGGAATCGAACCTGCCACCCGAAGATTGCGAGTCGAGCGCCCTAACCACTTGGCCAAGCTATGTATGCACAATGGTTTTGTCACATCTTGTAAACATTTTAAATCCATTTTATTTTCAGAGTTTATCGTTTGCTAATTGGCCATTTTGTGATTTCTTTAATTCTTCGGTATTACATGAAAGTACAGAACGAGAGAACTATTGAATAGCTGAAAACTGGATAAGAATTTAGAGAAGAGGTTGCTGTACTGAAGTTAAACAGCTTAAAATAGGGTTGTTATAGATTAAATAAACAATTTAATCCCCACTACCTGGAAGAGGTAGTCATTTTAAGTTCACCAGTTTAAAGAATCCTCCATAATGATAGATCAAACATACGTCCCACAGATGCAGATATTATATCATTACCAACGGGAGTTCAGACTCATTGATTAGTATCACTTTTGTTTTTCTAATTGTGACTCTTTCAGATAAGGTGACTCAGTCAAACCCTTAATCTGAGAAATTTCAATTTCAGGTGGCTCATTTTCCTTGATACTGTCAATCAGACTAGATAATTAACTATATTTATTGAAGAAATTGTTATATCAAAATACCACAATATTTTTAATGTTTTACTCTCTATCTTGAGAAGTATATGTTTGTTTTATTGGATTTCGCCCAAAGCTACACAAGAGCTATCTGTGTTAGCCGTCCCTAAATTTGAAATTTTGCAAGAGAGAATGCAGCTAGTCAACACAGCTTACAGACCCCTCTTTTCAAAACAAATAGTGGTGTCTGACTGTCAGTCTTATAACGCACCAACGACCACGAAATGCGTTGAGCGATGTTATATTTTTGGCGATAATGTGACGTGAACCACGGAATGTCAACTTCATAGTCCAGCACGAGAGGGATTTGACTCAGAAGGTAGTTGAGAAGGCCAAAGAACAAATGATAAGCCAGGAGTTGATAATTTAATATGCCTGCGGAACTATATAAATTTGAAGGCAAGAAATCAGCAAAATGGCTGAAGAGAGTGATACAGACTGAAAAGAATTTGTTTGTTTGTAATTAAGCACAAAGCTACACAATGGGCTATCTGTGCTCTGCCCACCAAGGGTATCGAAACCAGGATTCTAGCGCTGTAAGTCCGCAGACATACCACTGTGCCACTGGGGGGCGGCTGTATAGAGAACAAAAGAAAAATCGCATGATTG